AAGAACGGAAAAGAGAAATTCTCCAGCTGTGCGAGAGCGGTCACGTTGAATATTTCATTCGCGCGCGGTGATAACCGGCCAGCGAAAACGGTTGCGCAAGAAAAATCGGAGAAAAAGAGAGAGAGAGAGAGAGAGAGAGAGAGAGAGAGAGAGAGAGAGAGAGAGAGAGAGAGAGAGAGACGAAAGACGAAAAGAGAGAAGGAAAGGAAAAATAGAGGAATTAAAGAACCGTCGTCGGTTGGAAAAGAAATTCCCGAACTCCGTAAAGAGACATCTTTTATTTAAACGAGCGTGTTCGGCGAGGAGTGAAGCGGCGGTTGGGGGGAAGGGGGTCGGGCGGCGTGCGTACTTCGAAAAAATCGATCGACGAGAAACGAGAGACGCCTGGCCCTCGCGGGAGAAAGTGAAATAGAACGACAAAGCTCGGTCGCTGGTGTACGGACGAGCAAGCTGATCGTTCGTGCTCGTTGCCTTCGTTTTGTACGAAGTTTTATAGTCCGGTTGCGAGTTTGCCAGTTCTTCTTTCCCCCCTCGACTCATCCTTTCCTCCTCCTCCTCCTCCTCCACCCTTTCAGCTGTTTCTCCATCTTTTTTCCACAATCTATTTGCGGCGCTGTCCATCTTCCTCCGTCGTTTCTTCGTCGTCCTTTGTCCCTCTTTCGCAAGAGAGTTTCTCGTCTCCCTCCCCGCCCCTCCATCCGTCCTCCTCCATCCGTTTCTTCGCGGGAAGGCCATCTCGCTTGCGAACACACGTCGATCGAAGCTGAAGTCTCTCCTCCTCCTCCTCCTCCTCTCTCTCTCTCTCTCTCTCAGTCTCTTTCCCTTCTAACAAGCAGAAAGCGGTAGTGATGGCCGCAACACGGAATTCGAGCAAAGTGGAAGACCGAGCAAATTTCGTGTCGGAAGAACATTTTTTCTCCTCCTTCGTTGCTTCTTCTTCTTCTTCTTCTTCTTCTTTTCGAGTAATTAATTGGTAACCATCTGAGTAACTGGCATGTCATCACTTTGGAGAAATCTTTCACTCTTCGCGGAGAAACAGAATTCCCACCCTTAAATTACTTAAAATTCACTAAATTAACACTCCTTCTAAATTCATGTTCTCGGTAGAAAAGAACTTCACGTGTTTGACTCGACGAACGATCGTGATAAACGGGATTTCGTGGACGAAGAATTGAGCTAAATATATTCTGTAATATCTATAATTTCCAATATCTAATAATCCTTCACCTTCTCAATTTATGAGAGCTTAGATGGTGATAGATCGTCGGTATTTCTGAACTGAAGACCAAGTAACAAAGGGATTTGATTAATTTCGATGATTGAATGGCGGGAAATGAAGAATCAGAGTGGGAATGGAACAGATATAGACTGATATTATTACAGACTCGATATTTCAACAGCGTTGCTGCACGTCGCACCGTGGAGATCCGAGATGTCGCAACGTTTCGAGACTTTCTATCATTTCTGACCGCGGTTATAATAATCGTGGCGTTTGCTCGGCGAGTTTTCAAACGATTCAAGGATCGTAGACGCTGTAGACGCTGGCCTACGATATTTCTGCCGAGAGATTTCAGAGGAAAGAAATTAAATTGTACGCCCTACATATTTGTCTTCTACAATGTCTTCGTTTTTATGCATTCGCGCGGTTGCAAAGCGCAGTTCCATGCCGTATATAGGACGACCTAAATCCTCAGGTCTCCATCCAAAATTCCGTGTCTCTTCGAAAAAAAATTCTTCGTGTTTTGCGTTACATTAATTTTGGAATCTCCTTCGTACGGACAATAGCTCCGAAGCTATTCAACGGAAATTTCAATAGACACATTTGGCTTCTGTTTGAGTCAAGTACAATTCCATTTTCCTCTTTATTCCTCTCGGAACATCCTTCAATACCACCTGTTTCATTTAACTTGTTTCCAGTGAAAACTTTAAAAGAAGTATCGGGACACATACGTGCTTCTTTTGTTTAATTCAAGTGTCTGTTTTTCCTTTTCTTCCCCTCGGGACGTTTTCTTCCGACCTGTGTTTTCAAGTGAAAGTTTCAAAAGGACATCTCCAGCGTTCGTTTAATTCCATATTTCTCTTCCCTTCTTTCAAAACATCCTTCGATTCCCGCCAGTACTTTCCTCCAGCCTCGTCTCCAGGTAAATTCTTTTGTTTAAAATCATACCTCGCTCTTTCTCTTTGTTAAACAATCCGCGATTACGATCCTTAAGGCCCCCGCAAACATGGCGGCGATGCATGCATCGATCTCTTCGTTTCACGAAACCTGCATCAGAGCCAGTTTGGCTCCCATACTACCGCTCCTTCAGTTTTTAAGAATTTTTTGTTCCAAAATTGTAATATTTTCTCCGTTTTAGGTAAAACGAAATAATAAATTTATTACTTCTCGATAATTTCCGGTCCAGTGACATCGTACCGACGAGTTGTAAAAGAAAGCGACGAATTATTGTGTACGGTTTGGTCACTCGTTATGGTCCGCAATCAGTTGCCAACGCAAGTGGTTAAGGATATCTACAGTAATGTCGTTTTCTGACACTATAGAAAATTTTATTTTATTTAAAAGTTAATACAGTTTTAATCTGTAATATAATTTAACTATATTTAAAAGTTAATACAGCTTTAATCTGTAATATAATCTGTAATACAATAAACACACTAAATGTCAATGTATTTAACTAGAATATAGATATTAGGTATAACGTAGGTTATGTTATAACGTAATATTATATATTGTATTATATAATATTATATATTATAGCATAACATATTATAACAAGTAAAATTATATATTTAAGTGAAACAAAATAGGCAAAAACAAATAATAAATTTATTACTTCTCGATAATTTCCATCCAGTGATATCGTAACGGCGAGCTGAAGAAGAAAGCGACGAATTATTGTGTACGGTTTGGTCACTCGTTACGGTCCGCAATCAGTTGCCAACGCAAGTGGTTAGAATGTCGGATCGTCTTCCGGCTCCAATATTACTGTTAGTAATAGGAGGTTTATTAGCATACGCCAATAGCACAAATTCCCCATCAGAGACACGAAAATAAACCTCTCTCTCTCTCTCTCTCTCTCTCTCTCTAGCAACGCTGCGCGATCTTGCGCATTTACGATGAGAAAGGAAAGAAACGTTCTCTGAAAATACCAGCTCGAAGCTTTAAGGTTCTTGAAGCCATCACTCGCCGCGCCGGGGACGCGAACGAAAATAAACGAAAGTATGTACATCGAGCGCGCAGGTATAGTCCTTCATACGTGGCGATTCTATTGTACTCTCTCTCGCGGATCCTTCGCACGGGAAGCTCGTACACGCTCCGCGTGGAAGAAGGCCATTCCCCGATCGTTTATCATCGCCGCGCGAAAACCTCGCGTTTTCCTCTGAATCCGGTTCCGAACCATCGCGAGAGATTCTCCGCGTTCATTTCGTTCCCACCGTTTCGTTTCGATCTCTCCGCCACCCTCGCCCGTGCGTCGAACAAACGAGGAAGGAAACACCACCGTCGAAACCACGCGAAATGGTTGAATTCGTCGATACGAATCGAGTCACGCGACTTTCTCTCTCTCTCTCTTTCTCTCTGTTTGCTCGCTCGCTCGCTCGTTTGTTCGTTGTTCACGAACGAGATTGATGTAGCTTTTATGAGTTGGCGGGAGGTCGGGAAGCAAGTTTTGACCATGAGAACGCGCGAAGGCATGCAGGAAATGATGGTAGACCGCGACGGTGCTCGCGGACCACGCGGCACGATTAATGGCTTTATTACAGCGCTGCTCTTCCAGCTCTTTATTTAATTGGGTCGCGAACGTGCGCGTATATACTCCGGAGGAGTTCGTAGAATCATGAACAGAGATGCATACGTAGACGAGTAGTGAAAATCGCGCGTACGTACGTCGAGTACACTCTCGAAGAAAGTGAGAACCTCTGCGATGTGCATAGTTAAGGAACCTTAGCTGACGAATGGCTATTCCCCCTATTCTGTGCATGACAGTGGCTATCAGTTAGTTCACTTGGCGCAGTCTACCTCGTGAAAATAGTTTTTTTTTTTTTTTAAATTTCAACTATATATAACCGCTATAATAGTATATTATAACCGTTCGAATAGTAATTAGTTTTTTTTTTAAATTTCAACTATATATAACCGCTATAATATAGTATATTATAACCGTTCGAATAGTAATTAATTTATACTTGTACTGTCCGATTGATCGACTTCAGACTGGTTGTTTAATTCGAGCAACTCGAAATTACCTCGTGGAATATAGTTCTTTTGGAATTTAACTTTGAATCAGTTGAAGCAACTTTTATTATTTATCATTTTGCTGATTAATCGACTTCAGACTGATTCAGGCAACTCGAAATTACTTCGTGGAATAATTGTTTGAATTCAACTTAGAACCAACCACTTGAAGTAATTTTTGTATTTACCTTTTTGTTGATTAATCGACATCAGGCTGGTTGTATTTAGACAACTCGAGATTATTTCGTAGAATGATTTTCTTAATTCAACTTAGAACCAGTTGAAGTTATTTTTATGTCTACCCTCTTGTTGATTAATCGATTTCAGACTGATTTAATATCCAGTCAACTTGAAATCACTTCAACGATATGAAATTACTGTTCGATCGATTTTAGATATACTTGGACTTAAAATTCCAAGTTTGAATCCACCGTGACCTTTCGAGTCAGCGAAAAATATCAAGGCAAAAAATAAAAAAAGCCAATGTCGAGGCTAGAAACAACACCTGTCTTACCTGGACGGCAGAACTGCCGATCTTTCCAAGCCCAGGAATCCAAGTCCAAAAGAATCTCTACTTTTTCTCGACTGAAACAAATAAGACGAGAGTGACCAAGCAGATATGTGTGCATGTGTGTGAAAATCTATGCTTAGACGCCTTTTTCGGTGGAAAGATTTGCAAAGCGCCGAGCGACTTAATATTGGAAAAGTATTAAGAGCTTTCCGGTTCAAGGTGAGACTAAAGTTAGATTCCACGTTGGTGTTCCAGTCACCCGGCGTGATGCCGTTCTACGGTGATTCTGGCGCTGGTTTCCGGCCAGCAGCTGGCTTCGGGAACACTGTTTGGCACCAGGGAGTCGCTCCCGTGGGAGCAGTTGCGGTTGAAACGTCAGCAGCACCATGGCCACCTCAGCAGTTCATTCAACAAATTCCTGCACCGAATCAGCTCGAAGAGCTGAGGTATCATACCCAATACACCGCCGCCGCACCATACCACCCACAACCAGGTAATTGAAGAACGAATCGATCTCGAGGGATTCACGAATTCCTTTTCTTCTTCTTTTTCTTCTTTTCTCTCTTTCTTTTTTTTCCTTTTTCTTTTTTTTCTTTTTTTTTTTCTTCTCTTTTCTTGCTTGAACTTCATCGAGGAGAAAATACTTCCAAGTTGCAAGTTGAGTTCTTTTTTCTTTTTTTAACTTATCGATCGTCAGGTATTTACGTTCCTCGGCTAACGTAAAATAACGTCATAAGGTGTAGCCGTAGAATATTTACCACCTCTCGATGCTAATTTTAAGGTTTCAATAAGTTTCAACAAAGTGGCACGAGTGTTGGCAGAAACGAGCCTCTTGGAAGCTAAACCGATCGAGCTTTATTTTTTTCATCGTTGTCATCACCTACGCTATAGGTCAAAAGTTCAAGACCACTCGCGTTAATTTAGAATTTGTTGAATTTTTGTTTCAATTCGGATGTAGTATTGCTATTAAATTTATTTACATTAACGAGATAATGATCCCGAGATTCTTCCAAGTTGTGTAGAAGATATTCGAAAGAAAAAAGAGAGGATCAAAAAATTTTAATGGGCGCAAATTGACCGCCCTCGTCGCCTGATCTTAACCCGCTTGAATTGTTGTGGGAAATGCTCGATAGACAAGTCCGGAAGCATGCTCCAATCTCACGAAAACATTGAACGGAGATTTTGCAACATTACTGGGGCAATATTTAAATTTGCTGCGAGAATGCCCAAGTCAGTAAAAGCTGTATTGAAAGACAAAGAAGGATTTTTTTACGAAAAGCATAAATTATTTACAATTGTTGTACATTTTTAAATTGTCAATTGTTACGTGAAAAGTTTCTTAAGTAAAATCATTATCACAAAATGAAAGTTCTGAAAGTATACCTATGGTGGTCTTAAACTTTTTGATCAATTAATGTCCAATGTTAATATTGTTACAAGGAGCAATTCGTCGCTCACGTACAGTTTTAAGAAATGACAATGTGACACCGTTTCTCATTCAGAGTGTCGATGAAATAAAATACGCCTGTTCACACCAGTCTCGGTCATTCGAATTCGACGATTCAGAATTTCTCGCGAATGAGAACGATCGCGGAATGCAAAGTGTGCAACTACGCCCCCTCTCCCCGCGGATTTGCCGCGCAGTTCCCGTGGAATCAGCACGCGAATTTTCTGATTACAGTCGCATATCAGCAGCAGACTTTCATTACTACGGATCAGTCGGCATTTCAACGTGCCGGGGCGACAGGACAATACACAATCACGGGGCAACCCTCGCCCTTGCCACCGGTCGCCCCACAAACCGTACCATCGACAGCTCAGAGGCCACTAAACGGTCAATTCATGGATCCCGCTGCTACTGCAACCCAATCAGTTGGTTATGAAAGGCAGGATTACGTCAATGGTTACCAACAACAGGTACAATTAGAAATGAATCGCTTTTAATTAAAAGTCTCTCCTCCGTCGGTGTTCGTAACGTCTCCTCGAAACGCGAACGACAGAACGACAGTTGAATTTCAGAAGATTGGGGATGAAAACATTTTCTGATATTCCACATACTGAAAAAGTTATTTCATTTCAAGGGAAATATCAAAGGAAATATCAAAGCACTCGCTTTTTCCTTGAAAGTTTCTGCAAAAGTTTCCCTCCGAAATTGTCCGATTTTTTCTTTTTTTTTTTGAAATTGTCAAGTTTACCTAAAGTCGTAGCAAAGCACGAAGGAACCTCTTGATCGACGATAATTCACAGCCAGTTGTCGAACGTTTTTGAGTTATAGATGGAATGATGCGTTTTTCCAGGACGTGACGATGGCACCGCCGCCTTCAACCACCCCGACGAGCCGCAGCAGTTCCGTGCACATGGACAATCAGCAGCAGCAACAAGCCTCACAGCAGCCGCCGTCTCAACCGCAGCAACCGCCGACGGACACGCAGGTGAAGGGATTCGCGACGATCGCGGCGAGCAACGTGTCGGGAAACGAGATGCCTGGGTATCCACTTCAACCGGGCCCACAGAGTTTACACAACTCTAACGGATATCCAGGCTACGTAGAAATGGGTCAGCAACAAGTACAGAATCAATGGCAGCCGCAGCAGGTGGCTCAGCAACCGCAACAGCACCAGCAACAGCACCAGCAACAGCACATGCAACGGCAGCATTCGGTACCTGACGGTGGCCAACGGCACTTATGGTCCGATACCAGTACCGGTACAAAGATGAACAACGTGAACAACAGCATGAACTGGTCGGACGGGACGTTGCAGCAGCAACAGCAATCGCATCAGCAGTCGCATCAGCAGTCGCATCAGCAGTCGCAGAAACCTCCGCAGCAACAGCAGCAGCAACAACAACAACCGGGTATGCAGAGTAACAGCATGAAGGGGCAAGAGACGCAGCAAAGTATGCAGATGCAAGGACAACAGGAGCTACCCCGGCCAGCGAGTCACATGAGTTGGGAGAACAGCAACGTGAAGGAGACGCCGCAGACACCGCAGTCGTGGACGGACAATACGACGGACACCAGTCAGCAGCAACAAACTCAGGGAAATTGGTCGCGGCAGAGCCCGAAGCTGAGGGATCCTTCGCAGAATCCGAGATTGACACCGTCTAGTCAACAACAGCAGCACCAAGGCTGGCTGCAGCACTCGCCCAAGTTGTCGGACCATCAACAGAATCCCTCTCACCAGAACGCCCGGATGACGCCCTCCGGCCAGCACAATTGGCAGCAGAGCAGTCCAGAGATGCAACAGAATTCGAATCAGCAAAATCCAAGGCTGACGCCATCCAGTCAACAGATGCAGCAGCAGCAGCAGCAGCAGCAGCAGCAACAACAGCAACAACAACAGCAGCAGCAACAGCAACAGCAGCAGTGGTCGCAACAGACGAAACTGGAGAAAAGTCCTAGACTCACTCCGTCTAATCAAATGTCTTGGCCAGATACGCCAACTAGTCAACCAAATTGGTCGCCTAATAGTATAAAGAGCGACAGTAGTCAACAACCTCAACAACAATGGCCAGACTCGCAGCCTAGTCCGAGGAGAACGCCTGGCGCGTGGCAGCCTCAGCCACCCACTCAGCAGGAGAACAAAATGGAGAACCAAATGTCTTGGTCGCCGAACTCGGTGGCCGAGAACCAACCGACTTGGGGCCAACAAACGACCAAACAAGACATGCAGAACTCCGGGGAAAGAGTGCTTTGGCAGCAACAGGACACTGGGAAACCGAATGGATTCTCAGACCCGCAAGACGCTCAGGAGAGTAATGTATTTGCTCAATCGAATCGCGTGAATCTGAACAGCCGACTGAAATCTATGATTCTGAATAAGCAACAACAACAGCAGCAGCAGCAGCAACAGCAACAACAGCTGCAACACCATCAACAACTTCAACAGCAACAGTCGCAACAACAGGCTCAACATCAAATGACCCATCAGGAGCAACAACATCACAACATGCATCATCAAATGCAGTCTCAGCACGTGAACAGCAACAGCGGGGCTAACGGCGAGTATCACACGGAGAACAGGATACGAGACGCGCGCGACAACGCGGAGAAATTGCAAGAGAAGCAGGCGGATCAGTATTTGAGCCAGTCGAACATCATCTCGATGGCGCAGTCCAACGAATCCTTGACCGGTAATTTTTTATTGCATAGCCACCACCCTCGGGTCGATAGTTTGCCCGACGGTGGTGGCTTATGGGAATGGTCAGGGGGAGGTAACAACGCGTTGAACAACGGTTCCGTTCTCCCGGAGAACGGGATGACGGTCATCGAGAGCTTCATGAAGTTTGGCTCAGAAGACAAGACCGTGCTGGACAAACCCGTGTACGAGAAACAGCAGCAACAACAACAACAACAATCGCACTATCATCAGCAATTGCAGCAACAACACGAGCAACGACAGTTATGGAAGGACGAGAGTAAGAGCCACGACAGCCAGAGCATCGAGGACAAGTCGTTTCAGAAGAGACTGTGCATAGACCAACAGACGAACGATAGCAACTTCGAGTCCCGTGGAAACAGCAGTATGGACAACGAGAAGAATCACGGAACGGAAAACGACGTTGGTTTTCCAGAAACACCTCGAGTGACGTTAGTGAACGAGAACGACGCCGCCTCTAATTACTCAGAGAGTAGCGAGAAGATCGCGTCGACCGAGCCGCCCAACAGCTCCAATTGCGACTCGTCTCAGAATATCAAGCAGGAGAACATGGTCGACTACGGCTGCTCTAGCTCCGACTGCGTTCCATCGCCAACGGCCTCGTCGAAGAGCGACGGCTGCGCGCCGAAGGAGATCAAGAGCGAGCCGGATCAACGATCGCTGAAAGGCAATGACTACAAGTTCCGTGGTGATGGCGGGCCTGCCAAAGTATCACCGGGCGTCGGCTCGTGGTGTTGCCGACGTGGCGGCACCGAACAACCGACGCCGGAACACTTGCGGGAGGGTTGTTGCCAGGGCTTGCAAACGAGGGACGAGATACTGGCCGATTCAGCGGACAAGTCCGACGTGAAGAACGAAAGATCACAAAGCCCGCGCACCGGTGGCGTGCCATCGACGACTAAATTGCAGGATCACTTGGACAAACTGAAGAACAATGTCAGGAGCGAAGTGCCAGACTGCAACTGCTTCCCAGCCGACAAATGTGAGTTGCTATTGAGTATTCAGCACGACACTAACATTGAGAGAACACACTAACCACACATTCACACGAAATTTAAAAAAAAAAAAACAGAGAGAGAGAAAAGGAAAGCTAAGTAAATAGATGAACGAAAAAATGAATATAATTCTCTTAATGTATATGTAAAACCGTACTATTACTGCTACTACTGCTACTTCTACTATTACTACTATTCTATATACTACTGCTATTACTACTACTACTAATATTACTGGCCGACAAAAAAAAAAAAAAAAAAATACACCAAGTCTTGATTCAGTGACCCAAAGAAGAATGCACGTACCTAACTTACCCCCCCTTTCCCAGGGGGCATACCTACTACATACGTGGCATAAATGTTTCCGCTTCTGTTGCTTCCTTTCCGTTGAAACGTCCAGTTTCGTAAGTAAAATGAGGTTCAACCACAAGGTCCGCCAGAGCCCGGCTCCTACTACACTCATCTCGGGGCGGCTGCAAGCCTGCCTGACCTACGGAACGATCTTGAAAGAAGAACCGGCCTTAAGGGAAACGCCATTAGATTCGAAAAGGTCATCTACACCGGAAAAGAGGGGAAAACTACTCAGGGATGTCCAATGGCTAAATGGGTAAGCGAAATTGCACTATTCCACAGCTATTAATCGCATTCCTTAAACTGTAAATTCATATTAAAGAGACCAAGAGTAATATTTAAATCGACATTTGACAATACTCGTGAAAATGTGAATTTACATAAAAATCTGCAATATCATAGACTGAAGTCAAAGCGAATTGCTCGTTTCTCTTTCTCTTTAAATTCAATGTGTTATCGGGTCGATCGCTTTGAATCATTGACCACTAACAATAAGATTACTCTGTACTGCTTTGGTGATGGGATTGTAATATCAGTGATTCGCTAGATAATCCGACGATCTGGTCTGGAAGAGAAGATCCTGACCATAGTGAAACACCGGCAAGGGCACAAGTGTCCGACAGCCTGGATCGTCGTGACCATGGTTGCCTGGGAGGGTATACCCACTCACGAAGCTGATCGAATCTATTCGCTGTTGAGCCACAAGCTCAATCGATTTGGTCTTCCTACTACTAGACGATGTGGCACCAACGAGCCGAGAACCTGCGCTTGCCAAGGTCTCGACCCTGACACTTGCGGTGCAAGCTTTTCCTTTGGATGTTCCTGGTCAATGTATTATAATGGTTGCAAATACGCCAGAAGCAAAACCGTCCGTAAATTTCGATTGTCAGTACGATCAGAGGTAAGAGATACAATTATACAATTATCGTGATATTTTCTACGAATCCATCATAAAGTCCATCGTTAACGTAGCTGTTTTTATTGGAAATTCCTCTTACTATCATCTTCACTGTCGTTCTTATTAACTTTTGTTCTTTTTTTTCCATTTGCTCCTTTAATCAAAGGAGCAAGAAGTCGAAGAAAGGATGCACGTCTTGGCAACACTTTTATCGCCTCTGTACCTCAGCCTTGCACCGGAAGCGTTCAACAATCAGACACAATTCGAACGGGAAGCGAGCGAGTGCCGTTTAGGGTTCAAACCGGGCCGACCTTTTTCCGGTGTCACGGCCTGTATCGACTTTTGCGCGCATTCCCATCGTGATCTTCACAACATGAACAACGGATGCACCGTGGTGAGCGATCGCAGAGATATTTCATGCCTCTCAGAATCTCTGAAATTTCAAGTTTCAAGTTTCTGGACAAAACTATCATACCGTAATCTCCTTCGTCTTACAGGTGGTCACTATGACGAAACACCGAACACTATCGAAAGCCGAGGACGAACAGTTGCACGTACTTCCCCTTTACATCATGGACACTACGGACGAATACGGGTCAAAGGAGGGACAGGATGAGAAGGTTCGCGCCGGAGCTGTTGAAGTTTTGTCAAAGTGAGAAATTTGTTTCTTTGTTCTTTGTATCAGGGCTTCTCAATCAGGGGTGTGAATTTTCATATGGGGTCGCAGAGATTTTAGCAAAACTAAAAAATCAATATAAATATTCAACTTTGTTTTTAATACATGGTAAAATTATATTGAATGTGTACACCAACAAAAAATTGTCTTCGAATAAATTTTCTTTGCGATTTATGTTTATTATCAATTGATATTCCTAGTTTAGGATACCTCTATATCCAGGATTCCAAAAATATTTGCTCGGCTATGAAAGAGGTCGGCCAAGTAAAAAAGTTTGAGAAGCTCTGCTTTATATAACGAACAATGAATGGTCACTGACGTGTGTGTCGTTTAATTTACAGATATCCCTGCGAAGTGAGAGTTCGATCGGTCCCACTGCAACCATGCAGAAGACACGGCAAGAAACGGAAAGAGGACGAGCCGGACACGATTAGCAGCAAGAAAGACAGTTCGAAGAGCAGCAATGAAAAGATTACAGACGCAGGACGCATGCCAGGACACCAAGAGATACCCAGACCGCAAATGAGGGACGCCCAACTGTCCCTGGAAATGGCGTCCATGTTCGAAGGAATGGACGCCCAGTTGCAAAGCTCTCAGGTATCATCCACTGTTCTAGACAGTCCGGTGTCCATGTACCAAGGATGGGGTTACCAGAACGAACAACAATGGGGCAGAAACGGCTGGCTCGATCAGCGGAAAAACAACTGGCTGAACCCGTGGAGAGAGTACTCGTTCGGTGGTCTGGACAGAGACGCGAAAGTCGACCCGGATAGTACAAGTCTAGACGATATCAGGCCTAGGAGCACCGTATCTCAGGATGAGCATCGACCAGGTTCACGAAATTTGCCTAATTCCACCATGGACTCTCCGAGGAATTGTTACCCACACTCGCCGAGGGTCCATCCTATTTCACCAAGGAGCTCTCACACGGGAACACCAGGAGACATTGGTTACTCAATGTCTCCCAGAGGATGTCCATCCACCCCTCAAGATCAGAAAATCGCTTCGCCGAGGAGTTCTGGGTATCCGGACACGGGCTACGTCCATCCACTCCACAATTCCAGAAACTATCCGAACATGTACGACACCAGGCAGAGTAGCGCGTCGCCGAAGGCGAACTGTACAAATTTTCCGGCCCATTTGGACCAGAGGAACATGCTCAACCGTACGAGTCATCATCATCATCATCATCATCATCATCATCATCAGCCGTACAACGTGAACAATGTTCGAAACGTCGGCCAGAGCTGCGATCAGTCGAAATTGCCGTACTCCAAACCTGCGCAAGATTCTAGTCAACAAAAGTATCCTACCACGCAGAACTACTTAGAGGCTCAAAAGTCGCAGATCGAGCAGCCGTTCGTGAACAGAATACAAGGCCAGCATCACCCCCCACATCCCGTGCAGTCCGGTAGGAATCTTCCGTATCAAGGCCAGCCCGATACGAACGCAGACACGTTCACCGGCCTGTCTTCTTGCATGGACAACCCTAGTCACAAGCCGTTCGGTGCGGCGAATTCAGATCTGTTGTTACACAGCTCGACGCATCTTCCGAACAATCCGCCGAACGGCGCTCAAAATTTAGGATCAGTCGATCAGAGAAAATACCAGAGGGTGTACAAGGGTCCTGAACAGAAGACAACCGGAATCAATCAGATGTCGCCGGTGCCTTCCGATCAAGTGGGAAGCTGGAACATGCTCGGTACCCCGGCCTGGTATCCCGATCAAACTAAACCTTACAATCAGGAACAGGTGTACAACAATCAAATGGGTACCGACAGGAACCATCAACAACCGATAGATCATCAGAAAACGTTCAACTGGAACGACAGATCGCCACATCCTGATCAGTCGAAACCACCTTGCTGGGAAACACCCTCGGATCCCTCTCCGTTCAGGGTGCCGAAGGGCAGGCCACCGTCGAGGACAGCGTCCAGCCAGAATCCAAGTGCAGACAATACATATCAAAATTCTTCCAATAAAACATTCCTCAAGCCTCAAGATCCGACGCGGAACGGTGTCTACGCGGACAGTCCGAGTAACACCGCGGTGCAAAGCACAGTGGCAGCGCATCAGGGTAACCAACGACGACCAGAGTGGCCGGATGAAAAGACGAAAGAAGGTTTCCACGATTCCAGACAGAACGCCGGGAATTCAAACTCGAATTGCTTCCCATGGGTGGAGGAAATGAAGCAGGTGCAAGACTTCCACGGGATGCCGGGCCTGGGACATCATCCTCACGCATCCTTTCCGCAATACGGATTGTATCCGACGTATCCGGTCTTCGACAAACCGTACTCAAACTCCTGGGAGGGTTACAACTACCATCAACCTTATCCTCACCCCCAAACGCCAGAGTATCCGCCGCAATTCTATCAACAACCAAAGAGAGAAGCCTGTTTCCCTTCGCCTCAATATTCCTACCAGGGAGTGCCCCCGTATCAAGGCCTGAATCCAAGTTGGGCAAGATGGGAAGCTCCTCGATGGGACATTTACGGACCACCGCCATACTTCCCGGTGTTGCCAGAGCCCCCGCCGAAGGCAGAACCACTTGGCGAAGTGGCCGACTTCTCCGACAACGAGGAGTGCTTCAAGGACTCGCAGATGGGCGGAGTGGCGATCGCGTTGAGCCACGGTAGCGTGTTGTTCGAGTGCGCCAAGCACGAGATGCACGCCACCACCGCTCTGAAGAAGCCTAATCGTCTCAACCCGACCAGAATCAGCCTGGTCTTCTACCAGCATCGTAATCTCAATCGGCCAAGGCACGGATGGGACGAATGGGAGGAAAAGATGCGGCTTCGCAAATTGGGCGTCACGAGCACCACCACAACCACCACCACCACTACCACCAGTTCCTCTTCGTCGAGCACCTCGCAATCATTGCCAACTCCATCGACACCGGCTAGTCCAGCCAGCGCGACCAGCGAGAAATCCACCCCGTTACCATACATACCCAGCGTTCCTAGTTCTCAGTTCATGATGAGATCGCCCACGTATCCCACCATGACCTGGACCACCCTGTTCCCGATGCATCCGTGCATGATAACTGGCCCGTATCAGGAGGGAGGGGCCATTGGATGAGTAATCGTCGGAGGGTGCGGTTCCAGCCACCAATGACCAAGAACCGTGCCAGGAATCGATCGAGCGATCTCGCCGGGCTGATCGAGTGGAATCTCGACACAGATTTCACTCAGCGACGCTGTTCCACGTCGCGCGACTTCGACGCGAGGAACGGTGAAACCTGTCACCGGGGGAACAACGATTAGAGAGGAAACAAAAACGAGCAACAAGCAGCTAACGTTTCAAGAGGGGACGAACAAAAAGACCAACAAAAAAAAAAAAAAAAAAAAGACAAAATCGAGTCAAATCATCACCGAGGAGGAGCTTTCTATCGTAATTCTATCGGATCGTCGTCCTAGACGAGTGTATAGTTGTTGCCGATGAGAAGAGAGGAAAAAAAAAAAGAAAGGAACAACAAGAAACAAAAAGACAAAACGAGGACAAAGAAGAAACAACACGTTTGCACTGCCATTTTTCTATCTCACGTTTTTTCGGGAAATAAATAATAAACGTAAACGGAGGACAGGGGAAACACGGAGAGTGAACAGGAAGTGTTAGAGAGCAGCAGGTGACGGATTCGCAACGCAGACGTTTCGTCAGCAGGAGTTCAATTTTAATCGGGGCTTCCCTTTTTATATCGATCTTTTACACGAATCGCAGTGAGATGTTGCGAGCAGGAAGAGGAAGAGGAAGAACGTAGGACAATCGGATGAACGATGGACATCAAGCACGACGAGGATGTTCAATAGTATCCAGAACGGCAATGTTCGAGGTTGAAAGTGGAGGAGAAATATAGGCGAGGCAACTTGATCGACCGAGACGTGTCACGCGCTTTTTAAAGAAACACACTGATCGCAATCGAGGCTAAGTTTCACTTTCAGTAAGCCGAATTGAAATGACAAAGGGAAAAGCGTGTTCGAAGCCGTGAGAAATTTCTTTCGCGAGAAATTGAATGATTTCGATGTTAAACGATCGAATGGAGCGTAGAACGAATGGAGAGCGAAAGAATAACGGGGAAGAAAAACGAAAGAAGAAAAAAAAAAAAAAACGACGCGATAAGAAGGAAATTCAGATAACGAGGGAAAGACGATGAAAGAATGAAACGTATTTCGATTGTATGTGTCTTTGATATTTTTTATTTTTTTTCTTTTCTTTTCTTTTTTCAATTTCTAGAAAAATGTCAATGTATTCCGGTATCCAATTGTAACTCATGCCCAGACACGACGGTTACTTTGTTTCCTTTGCCATGTTTTTTGACATACGGCGCAGCACGGAATTGCGAACACGTACGTATGGTGCGTGCTAACGATCCATCATTTTTGTACAAAGCCGGATCAATTTTTGTACGAAAGAGTGTCGATCTGCCGTTTATTTTTCCGCACGTTCTCCCTTTGTAACAGAGAGTTGTTGTTGTTGTTGTTGTTGTTGCATCATCAGACATACATAAGTACATGTGCGCATCATGCAGGGCCAAAATCGTCCGTAGATTCTAATTCGATTAATCGGCGTCATCGAAGTGTAGACTTTTATCCGAAATCATCCAACCAGACAACCCCAAAAAAAAAAAAATCTAACGACGAATATAACGTATGATAGTTTCGAGTGGATCATTTTGTAAAACTCGTCTGCACAATCTTTGAAGCTCCGCGTGGAGAATCGGAGCTCACACATAGATACACGTCACACACGTACATACACGCGTATATAATACATATACAGACACGAAAATGATCTCAAGTTTTTAAGCTAATCAGTTAAACGGTAAATATCAACGTTTAATCCTTTTCTTTTTTCTTCTCTCTCTCTCTCTCTCTCTCTCTCTCTCTCTCTCTCTCTCTCTCTCTCTCTCTCTCTCTCTCTCTCTCTTTCTCTTTCT